GAGAGAGAGAGAGAGAGAGAAGGAGAGAAGGCGCCCGGTGTATTATAGACCGTTTCAAACTGGACAACATGAACATTCTAAATGGGTCCCTTTGTATTTCCTGTTTGAATGTATGTTAATGCAGAAGCTGACAGGAAGTAAACAGGGACCAGAGTTGTTGCCCTAGCAACAGAATAGCAATGAAATGGTCCATAGGAGATCCCCCGGCAGACTAGGCCTAAGTCAGCCTAACTAGGGGCTGGTACAAGGCAAGTCTGAGCCGACCCTAACTATAAGCTTTATCAATGAGGAAAGTCTTTAGTCTATCCTTAAATGTGGAGACGGTGTCTGCCTCCCAGGCCGTAACAGGAAGATGATTCCACAGGAGAGGAGCCTGATAGCTGAAGGCTCTGGCTCCTGATCTACTTTTGGAGACTTTAGGGACCACAAGTAACCCTGCATTCTCAGAGCGCAGTGTTCTGGTGGGATAATATGACACTATGAGCTCTCTAAGATATGACGGAGCTTGACCATTTAGAGCTTTATAAGTTAACAGTAGGATTTTAAATTCAATTCTGGATTTTACCGGGAGCCAGTGCAGAGAAGCTAAAACAGGAGAAATATGGTCTCGTTTCTTAGTTCCTGTTAGTACACGTGCCGTTGCATTCTGAATTAGCTGGATAGCTGTAAAAGACTTACTAGAGCTACCTGATAATAGGGAGTTACAGTAATCCAGCCTAGAGGTAACAAAAGCGTGGACCAATTTTTCTGCATCTTTTCGGGTCAGGATAGGCCTAATTTTCGCATTATTACGCAGATGAAAAAATGCAGTCCTTGAGGTTTGTTTTAAATGAGAATTAAAAGACAAATCTTGATAAAATATTACTCCGAGGTTTCTTACGGTAGTGCTAGAGGCCAGTGCAATGCCATCTAGAGAAACTGTGTCATCAGATGAAGAGTCTCTGAGTTGTTTGGGGCCAAGAACAATAACTTCAGTTTTGTCTGAATTTAACATCAGGAAATTGGTGCTCATCCAGGTTTTTATGTCTTTAAGGCATTTTTGAAGTTTAGTTAATTAATCAGTTTCTTCTGGCTTCATCGATAAATACAATTGTGTATCATCCACATTACAATGGAAATTTACAGAGTGATTTCTAATGATGTAACCTAAAGGAAGCATATATAGAGTAAATAGGATTGGTCCGAGCACAGAACCTTGTGGAACTCCAAAACAAACTTTAGTATGTAAGGATGATTCATCGTGAACATGAACAAACTGTGTTCCAGAACAAACTGTGTTCCAGTGTGTAAGTGTTCCAGTCTCTGTAGCATAATTTGATGGTCAATTGTGTCAAACGCCGCACTAAGATCTAATAAAACAAGTACAGAGACAAGTCCTTTGTCTGAAGCAATCAGAAGATCATTTGTAATTTTAACTAGTGCTGTCTCAGTGCTATGATGCACTCTAAATCCTGACTGAAATTCCTCAAATAAATTATTATCATGGATAAAATCACACAGCTGGTCTGCGACTACTTTCTCAAGGATCTTTGATTCTGAGTTATCATGTATGAGCAGTCTTCACATGTATTCTCAAACATGTACTTTTCTGTGCATGAATCATAGAGTGCAAATGGTTTATTATTGTGACAATTTGGTTCTAAGTCATTTGCAGTGTTTGCACTAGGATGGTGATATGTCATTGTGTTGGCTCTGTTGTCCTACACATTGGATTTGAAATGTAATGGTAACTATGATGTTTAAGGGCCCCTTTGTTTTAGCCTTATCTGTGTCTAAAGGTGTCCAAGTAGACATTGTAAGTGTAAGAGTTATAGCCTGTTTTATAGTGTAGTTAGATGATGATTATGTGTTTCACTTGTTGAAGACCAGACTGAAGTTCAGACCCAGAGCATCACCAGGGAATAATGGATACCAGGGGTCTAAAGTCTACAAGCCACAGACTGACACTGACCACATATTGAAAATGCACTTTGGAGTAAAAAGCGAACACTGTCTTTGTCATTCAGCTTCAAGGACATTTGTATAGATGCTGTCTGTCTCACCCTGACATTCCATCATCTTCATTTTATAAGGCAGTATCCTGTAAAAACAGAATCAAGTAATGTGATCTTTCTTTCAAACAATGTTCTCCTCACTACTTTTTCAAAAAAAGAGCATGCAAAAAAAGCTGAAACAACTGTGTCTGTTCTGTGATTTCAGCATGGGCTGCTGGCCTTCAAGTTCATCCTGACCTTCCTCATCCCAGATGTTCCCAAACACATCCAGATCAATCTGGCCCGCCTGGAGTTTGAATCACTGGAAGCCCTCAAGAAAAAGGTAAAATCTGACAACATAGTCTGCGTATGGATTAAGGCAAACTTCAATACAATGTGACTTTTTACTTTTTTTTTGTTATTGATTCTCCCCATTTCAACAAAACAACAGTTAACAGTGGAAACAACAGCAATGATATTAAATTAAATAGAAATACAAAAGTTCGGTCACAGTTAGACAGTTGCACACTCCCCATGCTAAGAGTAACATAAAGTCCAGTCATATACTTCAATAACAGAAAAAATGCCATATTGCAGTTGACCTTTAATGTCTATGTGGGTATGAGAGTGTACTGCAAAGATTCAAGGATCAAGGCAGAAATAGATATAAATAAAACTGGAGTGAGAAGTATAATCCAGAAATTCAAAGACAGCCACACAGTACAGAACAAGCCTGACAGAGGTAGGAAGTGAAAGATTTCAAAGACCCTGGAAAGAAAACTAGTGAGAGATGTGTCTAAAGACCCCAGAACAACTGCCAAGACACTGGTGAATGACTTGGACACATCAGGAATCGTAGTCTCTAAGAAGACAATCACTAGAGCTCTGCTCAGGAATGGACTGCGAGGTTGCAGACCAAGAAAAACTCCACTTTTGAAGAAGAGACACCTTCAAGCCAGACTTAAGTATGCTCAGGACAACCTGGAGAAAGATTATGCATACTGGAAGCGTGTCCTATGGTCTGATGAGACTAAACTAGAGCTCTTTGGCCACAGAGACACTGCTTATGTTTGGAGAAAAAAGGGAGAGGCATATAACCCAAAGAACACCGTCCCCACAGTGAAACACGGTGGTGGGAGTATTATGCTGCGGGGATGCTTCAGTGCATCTGGAATTGGAAATCTTGTCAAGGTGGAAGGAATCATGAACAAAGAAAGATATGTGGAGATTTTGAAAGAAAACCTTAAGCAGTCAGCAGTAAAACTGGGTCTAGGTCGTCGCTTCGTCTTCCAACATGACAACGATCCAAAACATACGTCTCTCTTGGTGAAGAACTATCTCCAGAAGACCAAAGTGAATGTAATTGAGTGCCCTGACTTAAATCCCATTGAAAATATGTGGGGTGACCTAAAGAAGAACGTCCATGCCAGAAGGCCATCAAATCTGGAGGAGCTTGAGAGATTTGCCAAAGAAGAATGGGCTGGGATTCCTCAAAAGAAGTGTCAGAGACTTGTTGAAAACTACAACAAACGACTGCAGGCTGTTATCCAGCAAAAAAGGATACACAATTGACTATTAGGATCCGGGGGGCTAATAATTTTGACCCTGGTAGTTTTTGTTTTTTGTGGAATATTTTCATTTCTGTGTGCAAACTAAAATAATGTAAGCATCCAAAATAAAACTAGGATGTCTTAAAAAGCTGTGTTAAAAATGTGTTGCTCTGTTTAAAAGCACTTGGGAAATACTTTTAAAACAATGACATTTTTGTAGGGGGGCTAATAATTTTGTCCTCAACTGTACGTGGATGTTAAAGTCACCAGAAATTAAATGTGGTCATATTTCACTACGATCCCAGACAGGAAGTCCGCAAAGTCATTTATAAAGTCTTTGCTGTATTTTGTAATTTATTACATATTAAATTCAAAGAGCTGCAATTCAAAGCTGCAATAGCTTGGCACAGGCTGGGACAGACGGCACTGGAGATTAGATTTGAATACAGAGGCTATGCCGCTGCCACTGCCCAAGGAGCGGGGTGAGCTAAAGAAAGAGCAGCCTGGAGGAAGGAGTTCCGAAAACGGGGTATCGTCACCAGCAGGGTTCCAAGTTTCCGTCACAAACATAACATCCAGTTTGCTGAAGAAGTCATTCAACAGGAAAGTTTTATTAACTACTGACCTAGCATTCAGCAGGGCCATGCTGAAGTTTCGCTCCGGACTAGCTGATGTTGCAGTCCTCCTGTGTATACAGCTGGACATGTGTGTCAAATTTCAAGTCAATCAGACACAAGCTGGCCTTTCAAAAAAATAAAAATAATTGGCCTTAATTATAGGGCCCCATCTGGCATTATATTTATTGAAAATGTCATGTATCTACAATGTACCATCTAACGGGAATTTGCAAAGACATTTCTGAATGAATAATGATAATAATTATTATAGTAATACATCAGCACAAATAACAATACGGCTTCAGGCTTGAACCCCTAAAAAGGTGAGAATGTCTATTTATGAATGACACTAGTAAGTGAGATGGTAATGGTAAATGGACCTGCATTTGTATAGCGCTTTTCTACACATCCGACCGCTCAAAGCACTTTTTACACTACAAGTCACCCATTCACACATAAACTGGTGGCCGAGACTACCATACAAGGTGCCACCTGCTACTCAGTTTTATTTAACTCACTCACTCACACACCGATGGAACAGCCATCGGGAGCAATTTGGGGTTCAGTATCTTGCTCAAGGATACTTCGGCATGCAGACAGGAACCGCTGATCTTCTGATCTGATTGGTGGACGACCCGCTCTACCTAGCCACAGCCGCCTGCTGGAAAGGATCCTTTTAAAGTGAATTTCAGTTTCTCTTTTTGAAGACACATCCTGACCTCCTTGATCCAAATTATTTATCATCACAGCAAAAAATTTAAAAAAATATATACCTTAGGTATGTTATATTATTGACCTTCACATTCACACAGACACATGCACTGAAATGTGTTACTCAAAAGAAGAAACATGACTAGATTGCTCAACATGAGGTGGTTCATTAAAGAGGCATGCACAAATAGAAAGGACGGATAGTCAGAGACACTGTCACTCAGAGCTGACAGGGTTCAGCCTATGATGGACAGCAGTAAGACATGTCTGACACCATTAAACAAGGCAGTGGGCAGCATCAAGGCCCAGTGACTCCACTTGAATGTGATGTGATGGTGGAGACATCAGTAAAGCTCATTGGTACCAACAGTGTGAGTTTGAGGCCTCTAGTTTCCCAGCGCAGGGTGGCAAACCCTGCGCAGAGCTAGTTTTGAGTAGCGCAACCCGAGGCGCGCTCAGATTGGTAGTTTGGCAGACCGAGGTGCACTGAGATGGGTGTGGCGGCGCAGCAGGGGGAGGTGTCGACAGATCCAGCTTGGCGCAATGACAGTTTCGTGTCAAAAGGCTTCGCCGAAGGTGCGCTAAAAGCTCGCCAGCTGAAACCAGGTCTACTGTCAGTGCAGGCGGAGTGCAGCCGGTGTAGCGGAAGTTTGGCTGACCAGCGGACAGTGTGCACACATCACCAAAACCTCACAGGCAGGTTTCCAGAATATCAGGCACATTAACGATGCAATAAATACCCACAAAAACCACTATTCAATGCAACTATCTGCAATCAGCACATAAATGTATCTCTATATCGACTGTCCCGTCACATCTGATGTCAGATCAAAGGGGATTGGCACCGTTTGGCACGCATAATGGAAACCCGTGGAGGTCTGCTCGCAGTTCCGTATATTCGGACACTGCGAGCTTGGACCTCCCGGACCAAAACATCAGTTTCCTCCTTGGAGAAGTTTGGCCGTCTAACGCTGCTGCTCTCTTCTGCCATGGCGAATTGAGTAAACTCTCATTACGCCTCCGCGCGGCGCATTTAAGGGCGAGGAGAGGGGCTCATTTGATTGGTGTGATGTGAATGGGCTGTGTAAAACCCACTCCACGCCTTCTCTCCTCCCTCTTTCCGACTTGCGCAGGTAGGAGGGACGGAGGTGAGAAAGAGGAGTAGCTGCGCCAGTGTGCACGGTGTGCCAGACTTTCAAAATCCGCCTGGCCACACCCAGTTGGCGAAGCGCAGGTGCGCTACGTTTCCGCCTCGCCCGGTCAGTGAAACTAGAGGCCTGAGTCTTAATCAGCATTGCTGTTCTTCGTCCCACCACTGCTGCCTGTCTGAACAGATACAGTTTGTGTATGTGTTGGATAAAATTATATGTTATTTTTGCAGTGTTTTTAAAATGTTACATTGTTTTGCTGGATAAATGCAGCTTTTTAAACATTTGTCCATCTATTAAAACCCTTTGGGGTCTAGGGGATAATTGGCCGTTTTTGACTACTCTTCTTTAAATTTCACCTTAAGGTGAAATTTAAAGAAATTTCACCTTAAGGTGAAATTTAAAGAAAAGTAGTCAAAAACGGCCAATTTACCTGTTTACCTTGCCTTGTTTGGGATCATTCTTTTCAGCACAACCTCACCTAGTGTGTGACTTTACAGTTATTTTTGCATTTTGACATACTGTATTAACACACTGGACCTAAAATCACACAAAAAACATAAAATCCGAGTAGGAAAAAGTTTGATTTTTGACTGTGAAAACCACAAACATGTCTAACGAACCATTTTTGTAACTTAGAATGGAAATATAAATTGTGAACTCAAAAACTTATGAACAAATTTAGCAAACAACAAAGTTATATATCACTATTTACATGAAAATGCAGGCAATGCCTCAGGTGTTTTTTGAACAACTATTTACAAAACAATCAGATGCCACACAACTTATTTGTGCCACTCTGAAAAGCAGTTCCTGTCCACCACAACACAGAGGGGCACATCACAGGCCTGACACTTCAAGGGTGTGTCACTCCTCCTGTTGTCCACCTGGAGGCAATGTTTGCACTTCAGTCTGCCTTTGGTGGCTTTTTGGCTTGCATCTGTGGCTTTGACAATAGGCACAGGAACATGATCAGCTCTCCTGCTCTGAGGAACACCTTCCTTGTCCATGCCACAAAGCTGACTCACCAGCTCCACCATGAAATCTTTGTGTGTCATGGGCTGCACCTGCTTGGCATTGCTCATCTCACGGTGCAAGATGAAGGCATTTGTTGTTGCAATGTCCAAGAACTGCAGCAACATGGTCCTGTACCAGTGACCAGTTTTTCTGTGGGTGGAGTAATACTGAATGAGCTGATCTGACAGATCAACCCCACCCATACTCTGGTTGTAGGCCACGATTGGTGTGGGACAGGGAAAGTCTCTCACAGCCCAGCGTCCATCTCTATCCTTCACCTTTCTCCGCACTGTGTCACCT